CCGGGGGCCAGGGGTGTGGGGGGGACGGCGCATTGTCCTAGTGCAAATAGACTTATTTTACTGAAAACCTGAATAAATGATACATTTCCGCAGGTGAGCAGGACTGTGCCAGCCCACGCTTTATTATTCAAAGTGTGGTCGCCGACCAGCAGCAGCACCAATCCACCTGCACACCTGTTAGATACACAGACTCTCAGGCCCCAGGCCAGCCCCACTGAGGCTAGGATCTGCCCTTTAACAAGATGCCCGGTGGTTCCTGAGCACATTTAAGTTTGGAAAACACTGGCGAGTGTTATTCATAATTGAGGGCTTTTCTTTCCAATATTCAAAGGTAAGGTAAAATTTCCCTGTGATCATCCCATGGCTTCTGACAGAAGTGCAAATGTTATCAAATCCACGTTTCCGCCTCCATTCTCCTAAAGCACCGGAGAGTTGTTCTTCCTAAAACACACACCACATGTGGCTGTCAGGTAATAGAACTAAAGGGGAATGACCGAACTTCCCGATTTCAAGCCAAGAACTTTACCTCCCAGTTGGGATTCAGGCAGATGAGTATGTAGTCTGGTTTTCCCCAGACACAGGAGAAACATCACAGAAGAAAGTTTCTGTCTGAAAGCTCTGAGGAAGGGATGTGGAAGATGTCCTCTCTCTGTTCCAATGTGACCTGCTCTGTCTTGGTAGCCTCACTTTCACCTCTGGGGGGCCCCTCACTGGGGCTCCTGGACACCTGCTGCCCAGAGCCATCAGCTGCCCCTCCAGCTGTGACATCTTGCTCCTACTTCTCTTCTGGGTTACCAGCGTCCCCCCTCATGGCCCTAACAAGTGGACATCTACATTTGTCACCAGTAACGAGGAGGTCACTACCATTCAAGCAGTCCCTTCTACTTCTGTAGCTTTGACTTTTCAAAGTTCCTTACGAATACACCCCACCTGACTCCTAAGGGAGCTATCTTGTAAGAGTTCCACCTGGCTCTTCAGCTGCCAAGTTCTCTACCCGGGACAGTAGTCCTTAAATCCACGCTTCTCAAACTATAATGTGTCTTCAAAACACCTGGGATCTCTTGTTAAAGAGTGTGAGAGGGCCTCTGAGCTTTTGCCTTTCTCAGGTGATGAGAATGCCCCTGACCAGAGTTTGAGTGGCAGGATCTTAGGTTTAATTAAATCTACCACCAGAACCACTGAGAACAAATCTGTATGACCTGCTGGATCAGAAAATGATGTCCATTTTCAGAAAATGATGTCCAAATCATCCATTTTTTGGCCACAAACCTTGTTTCTTTGATAGTTCCTTATGTGTCACGGTTTTTCCTTTTCTTATTATCTCATTAACTGTCTTCTGGAAATGCTCTAATGAACATTGACAAACCCTGCAACTGTGGCACCAAGCCTGATAGGTTACAGCTCTAACTGAACAGCACTGGGGCAGAGAACCACCTGGTTCAAATGAGCTCAAGACTGTGCAGTCGTGTTTAGGAACGATGTGGTTCTATGGAGGGATCTGGAGCCTAAAATCAACCAAGGCCTCCATCCTTTCCCTTTTGTATGTGCCCTTCTTGCCACAATAGAGGGCAAGATAAACTAAGTCTTCATCTGAAGTGATAATAATTTGACGTGTGACCCTTTAAGGGAAATTTGACAAGACAATCCTAAAGAGGCGATGTCTTAATCTAAAGGCAAACTCTCTACTGGTGTCATTTTAGGCTCCATGGCAGATTGGTGGAAAAGATATGTGGCAAGGGGGCCACTTAGAGCCTACAGTGACGTAGCTGCTTCTTCTACTTTCCCTGAGGCTCCCAGACACGTGAGATGCACTGAACTCAGTTCTGCAACACCTGGGGCTTGAGAAACAATGTCCACAAGGTTCGTTGATTTGGAGCAATTCATTTTTTCAAATCAGCCATGGGCTAGGGAAGGGCTCATGAAGACAATTCAAGTCATTGCTTCCAAAGCCAGGCCAGCTAGGAAGGAAAGCACCTTTTGGCTAGAAATAACTGTCCCAGTCAAGGGAAGAAGTGAGGCAGCGACACCGCTCCAGGGAAAACTCTGGAACTTCCTCCAGCATGGTGAGCTTGGGAGAGAGTACGGTGGAAACCAAGGCAAGAGTTTCCTCAGTAATCACTTAAGGAAAGCTGAAGGGGGGGTTCCTGGACAGGATGTTAAAATGAAACCATTTTAGTTTCAGTTTTTGCTGAGGCTGCAAGACAACAGACACCCCAAGGTAGAGTGAAGTATGCAGATCTTGCAAAAAAAAAAGATGGTGGAAAGCCAGTTTTATACCTATAGGTGACCACCTACATCCAGCCTGCAAAAGAAATGTAGAGGTTGAGAAACAGGTTGACTAGAAGATGAATTATGGGGAGAACTGTCTAGTGTATTACCAAGGGCTTCAATGTGGCCATGTAACTAGCTTGATATCTGTCCCTGGAGCTTGAGAGACACAGTGGATTACTGTTTGACTCCCATGGGAAATCTAAAAGTCTGACTACTCTGATGGCAGAACAAAAGAGAGGTGACTGCAAGGTTCAGCTGCATGCCCAGAATTTGTTTGGGCCAAGGATGGGTAGTGTTTGTCAGGGGCCAGATGTGGGCCATCAGAAGAGAAAGCTAAAGTAAGATCTTTGGGGCATCTGGGTAGCTCAGTTGGTTAAGCATCTGACTCTTGATTTCAGCTCAGGTCATGATCTCAGGGTTGTAAGATTGAGCCCCGTGAAATGCCTGCTTGGGATTCTCTCTCTCCCTCTCCCTCTACCCCTCTCCTCCTCCCTCCCCACTCTCTAAAAAAAAGTAAGATCATCTTAGATTCTTTCTGTGGGACTGTCTGGTGGCACAAGGGGGCCTCTGCAGAAAGAAGCTAGAGACCTACCTGCAGATTTGGGGCTGTGGAAGGAAGTGACTGGGTAACCAGCCAGATAAGAATTATATTTGTCCATGTCAGGGAAAGTGCAGGTGAGAGATGGCAGGGTCACCAAAATGCCCATGTGAGAGCCCTTAGGATGAAGACTCAGCCTTAAACACCCACCAGAACTTGGGAGTATGATGCCAACTCACAGCAGGATCAGTCAGGTAAAAACTCTCCTACCTCTTGCCTCTCCTCCTCCTCTTACTGTGGTCATGAAGCATCCGAAATCATTATTAGCCAGATATGGGAGGGGGGGCAAAAGCACAAGGTTAGGTGTGAGGTGGAGAGAAGCCAACTGGCCTGAAGCAGGTCTGAACTGGGAATAGGGAGTAGTTACATCTTCGATTGAAATTTAAAGTTTGATTATTACACTGACCCAGATATATTAATTATTGACTAGAGAATGTTTTGTTACCTGAAAGGAACAAGAAAAGTCACAAGATTTGTCCAAAATTTCATCCATGGGTAGGAATGAAGTGGTCCCACAGGATATATTTAAAGAAGAATGGGAGACATGAATTATGTGGCTTTATGATTATATCCTATGGGACATTGCTTGTTCAATGTAACGGTGATTCAGTGGATTGCAAAGTGAAATCAGACCATTCTGCTATTCTTGTTGCAAGATTCACTAGAAGATTCATTAGCTTTAGGATATGTTCCTGAGTCAGCTAAGGCTTATAGGAGAGACCAGATTCATACTGTCAGAACCAGAAGTAGCACTGTGCATAAGCAACCCCAACACCTCATTTAGGAAATGGAGGTCCAGAGATAAGAAAAGATTTTCCCAAGCTTGCACATATAGAGACATCAAAAACAAACAAACAAACAAAACAAAATAAAAACAAAAGCCACAAATGTATATAGTATCTGCTCACATAGACCATATTTAATTAGGTAGCTTTCATTGTGAAGGCCAAATTTCTTCCTGATTCCCAGGTCTCAGGGAGATTAATGTAAAATTATAAACAGGGTTCTTGACAGTATCTAAAAAAAAATTTATGCTAAGAATCTAGATTTATCCTTCCCTGCTGTCCTCTTAAGTTTAAAATATAGCCACTCTTATTATAAACATCTTTTTTGTTGAAGGCTCTAAGCCTATCTGTGAGCACATACCTGCAAATGTATTCATTTTTCATTATCTGTAGTGGTCACTCAATACCTCAAAAATTTTCCCAAGCTCATGTATTTGTCTTATCACAACACAAGATGTCACATGGTGCTTGGAACAGAAGAGTGTTCAGCAAATGTTTGTAGAATGACATAATGACTAGATTCCAGTTTCACTGGCTATGTGTTCTTTATATATCAACAATACTGCTTCCAGAGAAAGAATAAAGGCAACATTTCTTGGGGACCTGGAATCCAGAGCCTAGATTCATGTTAACTTTTTATGGATTTCCATAACTCAGGGCTGCTAAGTGGAGGTACCTAGCCCTTCAGCACACAACATGTGGCCCTCTATGCCCTTACTGACCTTCCCACCAGCTTTCCTATGCTGAACTACTCTGCAACAAAAGGCACTCAGCCCTGGGATCACTTTTCATCCTGTGATGAGAGAGAAACACTAACTCTTACTGAAAAACATATTTGATTCATGGCCTGGTCAAATCCCTGAAGCAATAGACACTCTGTTTATTGACACGGATGGGTATCTGAGGCCCCCAGGCATAGATGAACATAATCCATTTCTTAGCCCTAGTTTCTTCAGGATTTCTTAGTTCCTTAGTGTCATAGTCTTTCAATGACTTAACGATGATGGATAAGTGCCCAAGAGTCTAAATTAGAGGAGAGTGAAGAAAGTAATTCATTATATGTGATGTGGCCTCATTGTCTAAATTCCAGTAACATAAGCCTAAAACCATAACATCAGCTCTCAGTAGCTGGAGCAATCTCTTACCACTACAGCCTGGGTGGGGACTGTCTGGGTACCCTCAGTCCTGGCTGTTCCTGACCTCTGCTGGGGTTGGGGGTGGCGGAGAGGCAGCCTGGGAGCCTCCAGCAGGAGAACCCTCGGGAGCTCCCAGGAGGGCAGGAACACCTGGGACCACCTCCGGCACAGGGAAGACAGACGGACAGAGCCTACCTGACTCCATCCTACCTTCCTTCTTGTCCTGGGCTTCCTCAGAGCCACTGGAGCCCCTAGGGAAGGGCTGGTGGCTGAAGAGGTCATCACACAGGAGGCTTCGGCACAGCTTGGCGAGGAAGCGGAGGACATAGCTGATGCTGTTCACCACAGGCAGGCTCCGCAGGTGCTGTTTCCCGTCGAAGGACGCCGAGACTGGAAAGCCACAGAGCCAGCAACTCAGAGTGGGGCACAACAAAGCCACAGGTCTGTGGGAGGAGGTTTTCGTTTGTCCAGCTGTGCTTTGTTTTTAACTAAGCTTTATTCGGATTTCACCTGTTTCTGCGCTCAATGCCCTGTTTGTGTTCCAGGATCTCATCAGGAGCCCACCCTAGGTTTAGTTGCCAGGTCTCCTTAGTCTCCTCTGGCTTGGGACTGGTTCCCGGTCTTTCCTTGTTTCGCATAACCTTGACAGTTTTGAAGAGTACCGGTCAGGTATTTTGTAAAATGTCCCTCAGTTTGGGTTTGTCTGATGTTTTCCTCATGATCTGACTGGGGTTAAGGTTTTGGGGAAAGAAGTGAAGTGCCCCTCTCATCACATCAGATCAGGGGTATGTGATGTCCGTATGACAACACTGGGATGTCAGCCTTCATCACCTGGCCATATGGGGTTTGCTGCATTTCTCCACTGTACTCTCCATATTCCATTCCTTGGAAATAAGTCAAAAGATCATGCCCACACTCAAGGGCGGTGGAGGGATTAAGCTCTACATCCTGAGGAAGGGAGAGTCTCTATATCATTTGGAATTCTACTATAAGAAAGAATTGTACATTCTCCTTCATTCATTCATTCATTCATTCATTCATTAATATCAGTATAGACACAATATATTTATTTTGTACTGTGGGTTATCTAATACTATGTTATTTATTTTGTTGCTCAAATTGTTCCATCTCTTGTCTTTGTGTCCCTGTGACATGCCTCCATTTTTTTTTTAGCAACTTTTTGGTTACTGAAGCTTCACTATGTTTCAGATTCATCTTATATTTTCCCTGCCCTGCCCTAAAATCAGCTATTTCTCCAACAGCCCGGTTCCTTGTTCCTAAAGAGTGATATTTAGAAACCAGGATTTGGGCACTGGATATGCTCATTGCTACTGGGGTGTCAGTAGCTCTGGGTCTTTTCAATGGAGAGAGCTAAGAAATATATGCATGTATACAATCCTATTAAGATTATGTCTCTATTTTTCTGTCTATATATATACATATATATATATATATAGAGAGAGAGAGAGAGAGAGATGGCTAGAGCTAGGTCAATCAATAGATTGATAGGTAGGTCTAGATCTAGAGATATCCAGATAAACCTGAGTTTGTGCTGAGGTCTCTAGCTCTAATCCAGCATCACAGAATTCAGGGTTCTTTCTACTCTTCTGGGGAGGAGTCTTTAAAAAGAACAATAACCTCTTCATAGTGATTCTAGATGAAATTTGATTTCTACAGCATTACCAGAACTTAGAAGAAACATGTTTCTTCCAGCATGTTCCTTTCTGTAACTGTCCTCACAGCCTCTCTCACCCCACGAAGCTTGCATACCAGCTCCACTGTGAGGAACAAAGGAGCAGACCCTAAGAGGATATTTTGCTCCCAGCTAGGCCTCAGCCACTCATTGTCAACACCTAGAGGGCAGCCCTGTTATTCATGTTTTATCTCCCAAAGGCAGGCACATGGCAGGGGCTGGGGCAGGGGCAATACCAGAGCTAGTTTTGATTTTAGAACTAAAACAAAACAAAACATTTTAATTAGAAATCAAAAGAATCCATTTTTTTGTGTGTATAGCTCTTTATAGTTTGACAAGAGCATTCATATCCATCACCTCATTCAGGCCGCCTAACTATCTGGTGAGGACAGTAGACAAGAGGTTATTACCCCATGTTACAGAGGAGGAAATTGAGAAGAAGGCGTAGAGCAGTTTTTCTGGCTCATGTGGCCTCTAAGTGGCACTTGCCTGTCACGTTAATACTCCGCGTGACTCTGGGAGAGTCGGCAAAGATCTTGCCCACGTGCTCACTAAGGGGTTTATCATAGCCACTCAGACCCTCTGGAAATTCCCTCTTAGTGTGAGCATTGCTGTTGGCCTCCAATATTTTAGAAGACCCAGTGTGATGGAAACTGCACCCATAGCAGTAGAGTCTGGGTCATCGGGTCTGTCCCATAGATCAGTGTGCATACACTCCCAGAGGTGCCTGGAAGGGCCACCTCCTAGAAGCAGATGTGGCATTCGTGACACCATAAGGTCTACTCCTCTGGGATAGTGTGGCTCAGGCAGAGCATGAGGGTTATGGGGTACTGCAATACTGCTCCTTTAGCCTTTGGGGTGGCCCTGGGCACACCCATGGCAGTCTGGTTCCTTTAGCCCACTGTGCCAGCACCAACGTCACCATTTTCTGTGTTGTGCCATGGGAACGTTGAGAAAGCAGTGCCCTAGGATTAGGTTCTAAGTACAGAGTGGGGGAGTCTATTTCTCCTTGAGTCCCTCCCTGAGCTTGGTGCTAGCTTGGTGCTATCACAGCCTCGCTGAGCTTCCATATCACCATCAGTAATGTGAAAGACCACCTTGCCACTTTGCGACCTCAGGGAGGCAGCATGAGGAGTCCCCCTGTGCTACTGCATTCTCCAAGACACTAAGACCAAGGGCTCAGCTCTGGACTCCCTGGGAATCCCTCAGCCAAGGGAAAGTTGGCAGCAGGGCTCTGCCCAGGCTTGTGTTGGTGCCAGGCACTGCAAAACCTGCTCCCAGTGCCAAGGCCCCTGAGGCCACAGAAACGCTGAGCAAGAGAGCAGGGGAAATAGCGTTGGCTCTCCCAGCTTAGGGAGAGGGAACACAAAAAACTCAGATGGGATTTGCTCAAGAACGTGGGCACACAGTACAGGAAGAGCTTTCTCTTAGCATCATGTCAGTGTCTTGAGCCCTGCTACTCAGCAAGGAAAACGACAAGGCCTTCAACCTCAGAGGGCAGCCCAGGTTTGAGAACCTGGCTCTCAGACAAAAATCGGGCGAAGAATGGCCAGCAAGCTCTCAGAAAGCTGACAACAAGACTCTCCTCTTGGCCTCTCTTGGTGCAGTACTTCTTCCTCCTGTCTCTGCTTCTGCTAAAGTTTCTTAAAAGTCACCCTGGGTCAGACACACGCACCTGGACCTTACCAAGTTCTATTTTAATCAATTACCAGCGAGTCAGACCCAGCTTCCCGCTTAGAGGGAGCTCTAGAAGGTGGGCAGAACCAATCACAGCTGGGGAAGCTGTGTTGGACAACCTCCCCACCCCCAAGTCCTGGGGATCAAGGGTTAAAAAAAATGCCCAGCGGCATTAGAGGCCCCCCTCCTGTCCCCTCTCTTAGACAGCAGGCAGGGTCATTCATCTGCACCACCCCCATTGCTGGGGAATCTTCCTGCTATTCCCTAGTGATATGGAGGCCATGCCCTTGATACTGGGCCAAAGAAGACACCAGTCTGTCCCCTTGGAATTAAGACATCTTGCAAAGACCTGGTGCTCCAGGGCTTAAGGGCAGGTAGTGACATCAATTGTCTAGAGAGCCTTGGGGAGCGTGGAAAGAACCTCTGGAGGCAAACATTTGAAGGGGGCAGAGCTCCCAACTCTGCCTCTCACCTAGGGTGACACTGCCACTCCCACTGGAAGCTGCTGGGGTGGGGCTGAAACTGGAGGACAGTGACAACGGGAGAAGGGACTGACCCTGAAGCATCTTTTAAAAAAGACAACAACCTAGCCCTTGAGAGGTGCTTGGGACCATAAGCTTCCCCACTGCTCAGGGTGCCATGAAGAAAGAATGAGGCAGAGTACAGGAGAATAGATAGTGACAGGGGATGATATTTTACACAGAGTGGTCAGAATAAGTCTCTTGGATAAGGCGCCATTTGAGTAGAAACCTGAAGAAAGTCAAGGAGCAAGTCACACTTGGATAGCTGGGGTTAGAGCATTCCAGACAGAAGAGCAGGTACAAAGACCCTGAGGCAGGGGCATGGCGGGAGATAGCAGAGGGAAGAGCAAGGAGGTCACCATAGCTGCAGCAGAGTGGGGACTCAAGAGGAGTGACCAGGAGATCAAAGAGGTAGCTGGAGCCAGGTCACTTAAGGCCTCTGGGTCCTCGTAAAGACATGGGCTTTCTCTTGGAGTGACATGAGAACCACTGAGGGTGCAGGGCAGAGGAGGGGCATGATCTGACTTCAACTTTTAAAGAACCAGAGTGGTTGCTGTGAGTGGTGAAATGTGGCTGGATTCTGGATATATTTTAAAGTTAGAGGGGCGCCTGGGTGGCTCAGTCGTTAAGCGTCTGCCTTCAGCTCAGGCCATGATCCCGGGGTCCTGGGATCGAGCCCCGCATCGGGTTCCCTGCTCAGCGGGAAGCCTGCTTCTCCCTCTCCCACTCCCCCTGCTTGTGTTCCCTCTCTCGCTGTCTCTCTCTCTCTCTCTCTCTCTGTCAAATAAATAAATAAAATCTTTAAAAAAAATAAAAAATAAAGTTAGAGCAATAGGATTTACTGATGAGCTGGAAGTAGGGGGTTGTGAAAGAGGATTCAGATGTTCAGTCTTCTTGTCCAGGTCCAGAAGCCTTTTCTCCTCAAGCCCAGAGAGAGGCCTCCAGCACACAGGCTCATTTAAGGCCCTGGAGCCCAGCAGATGGAAAACAGACTCTGGCTACAACCACAGTCCCCCCAAGCCTGACTTTGGCTTCTTTCCTCTTCAGAGAGACACCCATGCCCTCCTCATACAACCTGCCCCAGGGCCTTACCTGACACCATCTCGCCACCATAGCCCTGTTTGACCAGGGAGAAGACCAGCTTCTGCTGGTGGGCACAGTCGATGCACGCTTGTACGGCTTGCTGCAAGACCGCCGATGGCCTCTCAGGCCCAAAGCGCTCGGGGAGCTGCTGCAGCTTCCTCCTCTCCAGGTACGGCCCTGTGTTGGCTTGCTTGTTGATGTAGAGGCAGACTGTGGAAACAGAGACCCACAAAGCCCTCAGCATCAGTCACATCAGACCAGGGGGCTGTTCCTGTGGGGGGGGGCGAGGCTCAGCTGTGCCCCCTTGGCCCTCACCTTGAGAAAGCTGAAAAAAACAAAGGTGGGACTGATTCCTTCCAACCTGAGAAGTACAAGAGGCAAAAGAGCCCATCACTCCCAACTTCCAGGGCTCACTCTCAAGAGAACCCTTGGTTGGAAACAGATAGACAGGTGGGTCCCCTCTGATGTAGTCAAATCGGAATTGCAGACAATTATGGAGGTCCGTGCGGACCATGTGTATAAATGTATTTCCATACTGGGCATGTACACATACAAAATCTTCCCTCCTCCTCCAAAGGAGCTGTTGAGCTACACATAATGTTTGCCAATTTTTTTTTTGTTAACTTTCAGTGAGTAAAAAAATTAAGATGATGCTGATTACACCAAAGACTATATACTCAATGAATTTCTAAAGAGAGTGCTATGTATAATCTCAGAGATATTAAGTACTCAGCTGCCCATTTAGGTGAGCCCAACCAACGGTCCTCACACTTTTAAAGTCATACACCCCATCGGAATATATGAGCACATGCCCCAAATGTGTTTATTTATTTGTAGGATATATACATTCTTGACTGTTTTGATATATTGCATGCATTTTAAAACGTAACCAAGAAATAGGAAATTTTAAAGGATGAAATAAAAATAAGTATTAATGGTAGGCGTCACATTTTCTTCCCTATGTGGCAACGACTCCTCATCTATTTCCCCACCCCCCGCCCCAGGTTATGAGGATCTTACCTTGGGGGTCACTAGGGCAAAGAAGTGTTGAAAAGGGACTTGAAGAAGAGACCAATAGGATATGGGAAGGATTAAACAGTAAGAACAAAGGTGAAGAAAGTTAGTTTTTATTGAGCCCCTACTCTATTCCAGGCACTTCCTATATTTCCTCTTGTTTGAATCTCAAGACAGGCCTGGGAGTGGGATATGATTACTTCCTTCACTGATGAAGAACCTAATGAAGAAATGAGGCTTAACGGTTGGATGGCTGCTCTAAAGTCTAAAGTGTAATTAGGGGTGCAACAGGGATTTAGACTCAAGTCTTTCTGCTGTCAAAGCCTGTGCTCTTTCCACTCCACCAGGCTGCCTTCTCTTGTACTCATCCCAGATGATTAAGGAAATCTAATCAGTAAGAGACCTTCATGCCAGGCACTGTGCTGGGTAGGCCCTACAGATTTGCGGGGTCCCTGGCTTCACAGAGCTTGGGGCCCCACTGGGAAGGCGGAGCTACTCAGAGCCCTAGAGGAAGCCAGGTGGGACTGTCACTTCAAGTCACACTGGGGAGGTGCTAGGAGGGCCGATCCTGGGGACCCTGGCAGGGAAGTCAGTGACGGCCTTCTGGAGCAAGGTATGCCTGAACTGAGATGTAAGGGATGAGAAGGGTGACCAGAAAGGAGATCATTCCAGACAGAGGGAAGGCAGTATGTTGAAATGCTATGGGGGAGCTCTAGGGACCGAGAGGAGAGCAATGAACTGCGGGGCTCTGTTGGCCACATAAACAAGTTTGGTTTTTACCTAAGAGCAATGGGAGCGAAAGTGAAAGGATTCGAGCGGGATGGGAGTAGGGGTGGCTTGTGATGAGGGGGACAGTGTGTGTGTGTGTGAGAGAGAGAGAGAGAGAGAGAGAGAGAGCAATGCCATCCTACTGCTGGTACTCTTATGATAGAAATGATTGTTGGTGGACACCCCATAAGAAAGACTGGACTGAATTCTACTCTGACTGGATTGGAGACACCAGGTGGGATTAAGGGAGGTTAGGGTCCTTAGGAGATCTGGAAGCACAAACACAGGGATGGAAGCTCTTCAAGGTAAGCAGGCTCACTCTTGGTGCAAAGTAAACGTGGCTCTGAAAAGAAAACACTGGGCCACCAAACCACCTTTTCTAGTCCCACCCCAAGGCAACCAGCTGAACCAGAGATGCACTGAAAACCAAGTTTCAAGTAATCCTATCTGTGAGACACTTAAGCTAATGTTCTCAGAGAATTTGGTCGTCCTCCCTGCTGTCTAGCTAATAACTAAATCCTTCATTAGCGCTATCTCAGTGGCAGCTCTCCAGTTCACAGAGTAACTGCTAGATGGCAGGCTGGCCATCACAGCCTTAGAGGTCATTCAGCTGACCTACCTGTGAGAGCCTGTGGGGCCGCCAAGCTGGGTATGGTGGCTGCATCCTGAGGGATGGAGCTGAGGTCGGGCTCCGGCGTGCTTCGCGGAGGTGAGAGGGCTAAAGGAGTCATAAGAACCCGAGACTTGAGCTGCAAGACAGAGCCCATTTGGTCAAGGAAAATCTGGAAATGCTCTCTACACTTGCCCCCAATTTTTCCTGGATATCAGTTAACCATTTCTCCTCTATCGTGTTTCCACACCTTTCTATTGTTCAGCTAAGGGGCTGAACTTCAGATTCAAGCTCACAATCAAGATTCATGTTTGGGGTCAAATTCAGAGATCAGCTCCACACCCCACCCTTACAGTGGAGCCACCCAGGAAATGACTGGTGTCAGGCAGTGAGTGTGGGAATACAAGAGGTATGAACAGTTGAAGCCTATGAGCCTTCTGAGTGCAGAATGCACGGTAGGGGACAGTTCCCAGGCTTCGAATCCCTAGAATCCTATGGACAGGGCTTTCCCAACAGCTACCCAGGGACAAATGCCGAAGCTCTCCTTAATCTCTGCTGAGCTTTCAGCTCACGTGGATCACTGGACCCTGCTAGAAAAGAGAGCAGAAACCGTTCCTCCAAGGGGCTGCCATACTGCTCAGTGTTTATTTCCTACAGCAGAAACTATCACGGGTAGCCCGAGTGTGGACATGAGCGTATTCTCTGGTGGTGAGAAGCAGCTGCCTTGAAGGACTCATTTGAAATCACAGATGAGGAGCTGATATTTGCTGTTATGGAATAAGATGGAGATGACTGGTTGGTTGATTGTGTCAATGCCAGTAAGTCACTCTCCATACCAAGGTTTGACAGAAAATTGTCTAATCCTTGTTCTCCACCAAAAAACTAATGAATAATTCAGTCACTTCATCTCTTCACCCCTGACCTGTGTCTGTTCTCTACTCCAGACCGATTAAATCATTCTTTGGGAGTGGGACCAAGGCATCAGGAGTTTTAAAAGGTACTCAGATGATTCTAATACGTAGTTAAGGCTGAGGCCACTGCTCCGCTGCTTTTCAAATTTTAAGGTGCAATCAGTCACCAGGGGGTCCTATTAAAATATAGATTCTGATTCAGGAAGTCTGGGGTGGGGCCTGAGATTCTGCATTTCTCACAAGCTTCTAGGCAGTGCTGATGCTGCTAGTCCGTGGACCACACTTTGAGTAGCAAGGGTGTGCATTCTGTTGTTAATATACATGCAGACCCCACCCCCCTATACTGAATCACCAATATAGAGTTGATATTTAAGGCCATGATAATGAGTGAGCTCATCAGAGAATAACAGAAGGAGTATAGATGGAGAAGAGAAAAATCAAGCACCGAGCCCTGCAAGACTCCAACATGTAGAGTTGGAGAGATGAGGAGGAACCAGCAAAAGAAACCAGGAAGGACATCCAGTGGGGTAGAAAGAAAACTGGGAGAGTGTGGTCTTGTGGGAGCCAAACAGAGAAAGCATTTCATGAAGGAGAGAGTGGTCAGCCATGTCAAAACCTCTGATCAAGGAAGACTAGAAGTGGCCTTTAGATGTAGCAACTTCTCAGCAAGAGAGGTGGTAGTGCAGAGGGTGGGCTGAGAACCTGATTGGAATTAGTTCAAGAAATAACGGGAAGGGAAGCACTGGGGTCAGGAGTTAAAGTCAAGTCTTTCAAGGGGAGCCAAAAATTAGCTATGGCAAGGAGGAAAAGTCGGATCAAGTTATTTTTTGCCCCACAGTGAGACACCACCTCACACCATTAGGGTAGCTATTATCAAAAACAAATAAAAAATAATAAGTGTTGGCGAGGTGTGGAGAAATCGGAACCCTTGTGCACTGTTGGCAGGCACATAAAAAGGTGCAGTATAGCAGTTCCTAAGAAATTTAAAATAGAATTGCCCAGCAATTCCACTTCTGGGTCTATATCCAAAAGAACTGAAAGCAGAATCCCCAAGAGGTATTTGTACACTCATGCCCATAGCAGCACTATTCACAATAGTCCACAAGAAAGCAACTACCAATGTCCATTGACAGATGAATGGGTAAACATAAGGTGGTATATATACACAAAGGAATATTACTCAGCCTTAAAGAGGACGGGAATTCTGGCACATGCTACAACATGGAGGAGTCTTGAACATATCTGCTAAGTGAAATAAGCCAGTCACAAAAAGACAAATATTGCATGATTCCACTAATTTAAGGCACCTAGAAGAGTCAAGTTCATCGAAACAGGAAGTAGAATAGTGTTTTCCAGGGAGGGAATGGGGAGTGGGGGACAGAGTTTCTGTTTTGCAAGGTGAAGTTGTGGAGATCAAATGCACAACAATGTGAATATACTTAGTACTGAGCCGTACACTTAGAAATGGGTATGACGGTACATTTTATGCCATGTGTCTTTTACCACAATTAAAACATTAAAAAAATCTTTTAGTATATATATATATATATATTTATTTATATTTTTTTTTTTTTTTTTTTTGAGATGGGAGAGACATGCTTGAATGTTGATGGAAATAATCCAGCGGAGAGGGAAGAAGGATGATCCAGGGGAGTGCTTGGAGACCTAGCGGCATCAGGACTTTGAGAAGGTGAGGGGTGAGATTTAGTGAATGGAGGCGGGTGGGTGGGAGGGCTGGGTCAAGGCCATGGAGAGAAACGGGGACCTTTCATCTATTTTATTGCAAAGCAGAGCATAGTGGTCTGGATTGGGGTGGGGGGGGAGGATGGATGTGGAGATGGGAACTTACAAAAGCTCTCTTTCGACGGCTTCTAATTTCTCAGTGATGCTGGAAGCCTGAGTGTGAGGATGTAGGAGGGCGTGTTCATGAACTAGGAGGGGGGACAAGTGGGGAATAGGGCGTGGCTGCTGAGTGCGCAGTGGGATGTGGGGAAATGAATTTAAATTCACTGAAATGAATTTAAAATGAGATCAGTCAAAAGCGAGCACCCGGGTTGCACAGGGCTGTATGGGTGCAGATTCTGGGACTCTGGCAAGAGACCAAATGTTAGTCAGAAGCTACAGTTAACAGAGATTTCATCTTATTCTGTGTTTAGCATTTGAAAAATTAAAGGGTGCACCATGTAGCTCTGCTCTGCTAAATACTATAAAAATAATCTCAAAGAAACATCAGTGGTGAGAAGGAGCGGACAAGAAACCTGCTCTGACTCAGTCACCATGGCTTTGGCATGGTTCCCTCACCCACCAAGTGTGACAAGAGCCAGAGTTACCCCGCCTGTCCTCCCAGGTCGCACTGGTCCCTCTGCCAGTCCTTCGAGGAATGATATGCTGCCCTGCGTGGCTTGCAGTGGAGAAGCTGGTAGTGGCAGTCCCCAAGGACTGTGGGCAGCAGGCTCTAGAAGGACCTTGGCTAAGTCCTCCACTACAGGCTTAAAGCCCTCCAACCAACATACAGATAATGATGTTGGTGGGGGAAAAGCAAGATTTGGCAAGTCATCGTTTTTCCCTCTGTGGTCTTTAAGTTAATCACACAAAGATGCTTGCAACCCTTCCCTAGAAGGATGGTGATATAACAGCAGTGATGACGGTGAGGGTAGGGATGGCAGCGAAGACTTAGATTGCCGGACAGTTTCCTGTTCATATAAGCATCGTTAACAACCCTAACATCTAATGCTTGCTCACTATTTTAATATTTATTAGAAAAGGATCTGTTTGTTGAACCCACCTCCAAGGAAGTAATACAATTATAGTTGGCTGTTACCTCTACCCATCACTTCTGCTCAGATAAAGCAATTGAAGGAATTAGAATAAGTCAGCTGGTTGCAGCTCACACCTTCGGCATTCATCCAACCCCTAAAACAACTGCTGGGACTTTTGAACAAAGAAGAAATCTCATGCAACTGTGGGTGGTATATGACTTTTAAAAATTCTTCTTGGTAAGAGAATAGATCATCACTAGGCATACCTTTGACCTAGCATGCTGAAATTTTCAGCTCATTGCCTAATATAAAGGAAAAAAGCCTGGCCTAGGAAAGGGAGTCACATATGATTTTAGAGGGCTCCTAAAATAGAAATGAGCCCAGTGGCTAGGAATGTCCTATGGTGCGATGTGGGGCCCCTCTGTCAGGGCCTCTCCTACATGTGGAACTGAGGAGCTCCCAGTATCCCCCAACATACAGGGATGCTATTCTCTGGCAGGACATTTGTCTTTGCCATTGCTGGGTTTTTTGTTTTTGTTTTTTTTTTTTAATTTTTTGTTGTTGCATTTTGTTTTTTAAATGGACAAAATAAAACAAAACAAAATTGCTGGGGTTTTTCAAATTGCTTTTTCGTTGTGTTTTGTTTTTTAAATGGACAAAATAAAACAGAGCACTCCTATCTTGGGGCGCCTGGGTGGCTTAGTCGTTAAGCGTCTGCCTTCGGCCCAGGCCATGATCCCAGGGTGCTGGGATCGAGCCCCGCATCGGGCTCCCTGCTCGGCGGGAAGCCTGCTTCTCCCTCTCCCACTCCCTCTGCTTGTGTTCCCTCTCTCACTCTCTCTCTCTCTCCCTGTCGAATAAATAAAATCTTAAAAAAAAAAAGAATACTCCTATCTTGGTTTCTAATACCATTCTTCAATAAAAGGAACAAGGGCTCCTTGGAGAAATGGCTGATTCAAGGACAAGGGCAGGAAATATACAAGATGAACCTGGGGCATCTTGTCCCAGAAAGTAAGAGAGTACTAAGCACACAAACACACACAATGGTGAGGGTAGGTCATAGAAACACAGGAGTCAACTGAAAGAGCTTCCAATGTCCAAATCTGGAGCAATGTGAGCAACAAATAATGAGTAATAGATTATGATTCAAAGTGTACAATAAATATCCATGACTCCCTACTGACATAAATGAATGATTGACTAAATAAATACATGGAGGAGAACAGACAAAACTCTTATGCATAAATATTCCAAATAGTTTATTGTGGAGCTTAACATCCCCCTCCTTAAGTGTGAGCTCCACATAGTGACTTCCTTCCAAAAGGACGGGATGGAAATGTGGGGAAAGTAACTTTGCAGTGGAGAAACCCATCAAACACCACTTCAGGCAGGTGATCAAGGTCACCATCCACAGTGATAAGCCACGCTGATAGTATGCACACTTGACATGGCATGACGGGAATGACACC